GCACAGCAACCTCCGTCAACAGTTTTGGCAACAGGATCCTGAGAAATGGCAGGAGGCCAGAGAGCATGGGGACAGGGCCAAGAATAGCTGAAAAATACCAAATGCTGGAACCGGGGAATGCACTGGCCCGGGCCGCCTGCTGTGCTCCTCCAGCCTTCGTGTCCCCTTCTGCTGTTCCCCAGGGCATAGTCAGGGTGCACCTTGGGCCTCTGACACCCCTTCGCTGAGGCATGCCATTGCCCCGTAGAGCATTGTGTTCGCCTTCCTCCGGCAGCAGGCTGGAGGGTGTGAGAAATATCTGTTAGGCGTCGTCCCGCTGGACTCCAGCGCAGCAGACGTCAGTGTGTGGCTTGGGGAGACGAGCGCAGGGGGCTGTGGACACACATGCTCATGAGCCCGTTCCTGTGGTTTCAGACCGTCATCAAAGAGGGGGTGCTGAGCAAACAGAACAGCTCATTCCAGCGATCCAGAAGGAGGTACTTCAAGCTTCGCGGGCGAACGCTGTACTATGCGAAGACGGCAAAGGTGAGGTGCAGGGCCAGGACCGTCGGGGGGCACATCCGGGGAACTGCAGGGGGAGTTCAGGTGCGGGGTCCTCCTCTGGGCAGACCTCTGCCCTGAGTGCTTGTTTCCAGCGAGTCCCCTGATCTTCCAGGGTGCTGGTGTTACTTATCTTGGGCATGTCTTATTTCTTATAAACATGGGTTTTCTTTTCTTTTTCTTTAATGTCATATGTCACCAGGTGGGCGGGGGAAGGGGGTTGCCGAGAAAATCGCTCAGAAATAACCATGCGATAGCTGGAGATCTTTCTTTCAGAAAGATTGGGAGTCACAGGCTTGCTAATCTCTTATTATGGACTAAAATGTCTTTTTAAAACACTTTATTGAGACACTGTAGATGTTTAATGTATGTAACTGGATGAGTTCGGAGATCAGTTCTGGAATGTCCTGGGCTTCTTGGTGTGTGACCAGCAGTGCTTCATCTCTGGGCTTTCTAGCCGCGACCCTTCTTTCTGTTTACCACCTCGTATGTAGGACTAGACTCACCCGGCAGATGCCAGTGGAGGAGCCAGTGGAAGCTGCTGAGTTACACCACGTTTCAGTGGGTGTGATGTTGCACGGTGCAAACTAGTGTGTTTGCGAAGCTGGGTTTTGGCATTCCGAACACCAGTATTTCTGTATCAGTATTGCTGACAATACTACTGATCCTTGGGTACTAAAAAAAATCTGGAATCTGAATTATTTGTATTCTGAGATGTCTCTCTAGAGAGTGCATCAAAATTTGAAATTGAACAGAACAACTTTTTAAAGAAACAATTCTAAACGTTTCTCATTTAAAAACAAACAAACAAACTCTTATAGTTGTTTTAGTTCTGTGGGTGAGGGGTTGGAGGGGGAAGTTAGTTAAAAGGCTGAGTCACTTTTCTAAGTTTTAGTATTTCCTCCAGGGATTCCGGATGGAGTCCTGTTAGAGGGGCCAGTAAGGTAAACAGGAGGTGGGGACCGTGATGGGGGTATTTAGGGGAGAGAGGAGAGGGAAATGGTGGTGGTGGTAGCGGGGTTCCCTGCCTAATTCCCAGCCCTTCTTCTGAAGCCTGACTGTCTCTCTCCAGGACTAGATTCCTTCCACTTGGCTCCCTTGTTTTCTTTCCCAGCCAATTTCTTCTATTTAGGTCGGTCTCTTTTTCCCCTAGAATCATTTATTTTAGCAGGGACCCTTCCCCAAATGTGTGCTATCTTGGGAAATTAAAGCCGGTGGACAGAGGATTCTGAGAATGGACCCCTGCTCTCTCAGGTGGATTCTATCTGGAGGCGGATTTCACAAGTAAAAGTGAAATGCCGGTCTTCCAGAAAATAAATACAAAAATCGCAGCGCTGTTATTATTTTTCTCCGCTAATTCAATGACACTGAATTCCCTGAATTCAAAAAAGGTCATGGAGCCACACCTGTGGCTCTGCGCTCTTTGTTAGAAGCAGAGAGCATTCATTTAGTCAGCAGGGCTTGACTGGGGTCCGGGAGAGTGGGGGGCTGCCCTGGGCCATGGCTTAGGAACGTAACTGCCTCGGGGCGCCTTAGCCCCACGCTGACCGCGGTCCCTGTGTCTCTGCAGTCGATCATATTTGACGAGGTGGACCTGACAGATGCCAGCGTGGCTGAATCCAGCACGAAAAACGTCAACAACAGTTTTACGGTAAGACTCTGGACGCACCTTTCTTGGTTCTTCACCACGTCTGGTTTTCCTTCTTAATTTGAACAAACGTGTGAGCAGTTCAGACTTTTTCATCCTTTCTCTCTGATGGGAACGATCCCTCGTAAATTTTGAATTTAATGCTGAAAATAATACTGTGGTTGAAGAGTAACTGAGAATTTGGCATGTGTAAGCACAAAAGAACAGAGAAGATCCAAATGAAATTTTTTAATGTGTGTAGTTTACATTTCTCAAGTGATTTTGCACAGAGGCTTGTTTTTTATAATTATTGGAAATTTGGAAAATATAGAAAAGTATGTGGAAGCAGTTTAAAAACAGCCATAGTTCAGCCGCCTCATAACATAGAATGTTGATATTTTGATGTCTTTCTTTTCTTTTTTACTTTTAAACTGACCCCCTTCCCAATTTATAAAAGTTACAGTGTACTTTCTGCAGAAGTTCTAAATGCATAAAATCACATGACCTCAACACACAGAGGTAGCCAATTGCTCATTCTAGGTATTTATTTCTAAATATCTATGTCTTCACCCACATATACCAGGAGATCATAGTGATCCGGTGAACCTTTTGTGTTTACACTTTTTTTTTCTCTTGATGATATATGGTGATCATTTGCCCATGTTGATGATTGATCTGAATGTTCATCATATTTCCTAATGGCTACATAGCATTTCTTGTACGACTTCACAATTTTAGCTTCAGGGGCTGACTTTAGAACCTGCCTGTATACGATATGACTCTAATATCAGGAATGGAGTATTTAAAAATATTCTTTCTTTATATTAAGCTATCTCATCTGGAAATAAAGCGTGCTGCCTAATTTTTTCGGTTCTTTTATAACAGTCAAGGTGGGTGATTTTCTTCATGTTTAGGACCTGATATTTTGAGTCAGTTAGTTTCAGATACTTTCAGGTTTTATTTATTTAGTTATGGATTGATTGTTGAAGTTGATGATACGAATGGGATTTTCCTTTCTTTAAATTTCTACTTATTTTGTTTTGATGTAGCTAACTGTTCTTGGCTTTGCTTCGTGAAACCGAGTTAGTCAGTTTCCTGATGCGCTCTTATTTTATTCTTCATTTTACTTAGAATGTTTTTTACTTTTTCTCCATGAATTTTATTCACTTAGTGGCTGGGAGAGACTCCTAAGCCATGTAAATGGTTATTCTTTGATGTGTAGTTTTTAGGGTTTTTAATAGGAATAGAATTTCATTGGAGTGTTTTGAGCATTAATTTAGATGACAAGTTTGGTTTTAGGTATTTGTACATTTCTTAATAAATTTTTCTTGGCAGTTTTGAATTTTACAACCATATTTTGGATTTAGAATTTTCCTATCCGTCTGTGTGCTTTTCTTTGGGGTAGGAGGTAGCCTTTGTTGTGTTTTGATTTCAAAGTTAAACTAGCCCCATGAAATTCATTTATGTGTTCTAGAACATTTATATAGCTTTAGAGTCTATTGTTTCTTGAAAGTTTAAGGGAACTTACTTTAAATTATGTCATAAAGGCTATGAAAAAGCCTAAAAGATTTATACTTGCTTTTTGATCATTTGAGCTTTTCACTTCTTTAGTCCATTTCTGTGATTTACTTTCCCACTATTCCACACCTTCAAATTTAGTAGCTCCTATTTATTTATACTTTAAGCATCTATGTCTTTGGTTAGATTTCCTTTTGCATTTCTAATTTGATTTGTTTTTCTTGTCAGATTTCTTAAACTCTTACTATTTTTTTTTTTAAGATAACCAGTTCTTGGATTATTGGTCAGTTCCATTTATTTGGTACCTAATTCAATTTCTGCTTTATGTTTGTCTTTTTTCTGTGTTCATAACTTTTTAATAAGTTTATTGATTGGCTTATTCCTATTTTCATATATCTCATATCTATTATATAAAATGAAAACATGAGAGACTCTGAGTGCCTTTCTGTTCACATGACAGAGTTGTTTTTTCTCCTAGTAGAAAAATATTTTTAAAGACAAATTACTTTTTTGGTCATTTGTTGTTGAAGAAAAATTCAAAGTATGTAAATATGAATAGGAAATTTAAAACCATCCATATTCCTATTACCCAGATATACCTAGTGATATATTTTGGTTTAGGTCATTCCTCCCAAATATATTTTAAAAAATACAGTTTTTAACCTTCTTTCTTCACTTAACAATGACCTTTTTCTCTTCTTGTCTGTTAATGTTATATAGTATTCTGTCATATAGATGTATAAGTTTATTCAGTCCCTATATTGAACATTCCATTTTTTCCTATCATAAATATTGTGATGTATAATTGGACACAAACCCTTTTGTGCATTTCTGATTTTCACTTGTATAAGTTCTTAGAAATGGAATACCATTTGAGGTAGAAAATATAAACTTTTGAAAGGCTTTTGAAAAATAAATGAGGTATTAATATCCGTTACAACTTGGATGAGCCTTGAAAACATGCCGAGTGAAAGAAGCCAGACAGAAGGCCACATACGAACGATTGCATTTGTTTAGAATGCCACAATAGGCAATCGGCAGAGAAGGAGGAGAGTAGATCAGTGTTTGTGAGGCCTGAGGGGGAAGGAGTGCCAGCGAAAGGCGACAGGATTTGGCGGGGAGGTGACACAATGTTCTAAAATTAGATGCCGTGAATAAACTAAAAACCACTGAATTGTCTACTTTAAAGGGGTGAGTTATATGGGAATTGTGTATAATAAAAATATTATGGAAAAATAGCATGGCACTATGTATGCTTTCAGTACTATACCAGTTACTGTGGAGTTTTGTAGCCTGATCTGAGAATGAACGCTGGTTTATATATTGTCTCCCTGGTAATTACGTTTAGAGCGCCAGGTACTTGGCCTCCAGATGCAGAGCCTGTTCTGCATGGGAGGCCCCTGGCACGCCATTCCAGCCAGGTGGTCATGGGTGATGCCCAGCCTCAGGGCAGAGGCACTGATTCTGTCACACTTATTTTCTAGTTTGTTAGTGCTTTAAAACTGCCTTCCATTTGAGGATGCACTGAAAGGACAAGGGAAAGATTCATATTGAGGTTCCGCAGAAATGTTCCCAGATGCAGAAGTCATCCCATGAGTAATCTGCGATGTATGGATCCCTGGTTTATGGAATATGGGGACACATGGGAAGGATTTGGTCCCCAGTTTTCCCAGTCATACTTCCATAGAGAGTCAGTAAGTTCCAGGCACTGGGGCTGTAGGTGAGACAAGTATTTTCTTTGCCTAGAATTCATACTTAATGATCTGTCCCATTTCTAACCCCCTGCGGTGTTTACTGTCTGAACTCTGAACCTGCCACTTACCTTACAGTGAACTGCAGGAATCTGTGTGCAGAGTCAATCTGCTGTGTCCTCTGGAAGGCGGCACAGGTGCTCTGGGAGTGCATGAGGTGAATGAATGAATGAATGAATGAATGAGATGGATGAATGGATGAATGGATGGATGGATGGATGGATGGATTTGCCCAGCAGCCACTTCACTTCCTGCATTTTCCAGCTATTCCAGTAGTGATGTCCAAACTCCATAGCGTCTACTAAAATCGCATGCCTGATTCAAACAGCCAGTCAGTGAAAGCTGCTGTCGTGAATCAGCCAGCAGATGGGAACCTTCTGTAGCTGAAGCACGAGTAAACTCACTCCACTTTAGAAAAGACTCCCCCAAATGGCCAGAGAACCGTACCATAAAGGAGTAAGGACAGGAGGACAAGGGACTCTTGAGGGAGATGGGCGGAGTTATTTCGGGGAGAAGAGAGCTTTTCGGACAGGCTCCGTGGAAGAAGTGGCACAAGCAGGGCTCAGTTACTGGAGAGGGCTCTGCTCGTCTTCCTGTTCCTCAGAACGAAGGGAAGCTGGGCTGATGCTCGGGACGGGGAGGCCGGGCCGCCTTTAGAGTCCTGAGGGGTGGAGTGGCGGCAGGCAGTGTCCCTGTTCTCACCTTCGAGTGGGGCCACCCCCTTCAAGGCCAAAAAGCAGCAGTCTGAAGAGAAAAAGTGGGTTGCCAGCTTCACGTCCCAGCCTCTGCATTACCGTGAAATTGTATGTTTTTGATGATTAAACACGTTAGTACTAATCTACGAGAACTGAGACTTGGCGTATATCATTGCCATGTTGCCCGTAGAACTTACATCAACGAGACTTCAGGAGAGTGCTTTATTCTGTCTTTTTATAAACACCACGTGTCAACATTTTAGACTCTTTGCCACTTTGATATTTAAAAATGGTAATTTGTTTTACTGTGTTTCTTCTGTTATCAAAGTGAGGTCAAACATTTCTCACAGTCCCTTGCCATTTGTATTTCTTTATGAATTGATTTTTTCATGTGCTTTCAGATAGTCAACACTGTATTTGTAGGCTTCAAAATTCTCTCTCTCTCTCCACCCCCGCTCCCATGACTGTAATAATTGTAGTGGTTTGTCTTTTTTTTTTTTTTAAAAACTAGATCGCATAACAGTGGGCTAAAGTTACCAAGTAAAGATGCTTCTCCTTTTTCTTTTATATTTCTTTTCTTTCCATTATCTAATGTGTTCTAAAATTATTTTCAGCCTTATCACAAAATTTACAGATTTGTGCTGAAGGTATCTTTTTACTACCAAACTTTTCAAAGGGGTTTGTTAAAGCAGCATTTCTTTTTTACTGAAACTTTATATATTTTAAATAAATTTTTAAATTGAAATAAGACTTCCATACCAACAAATGCATAAATATAAGTATAGATTTTGATGTGTAACCACTGCTCAGATCAAGTGATGACACATCCAGGTCCCAGGAAAGTCCCCTCATGGTCTCTCCTGGTCACTACTTACCCACCCCCCCACCCCCCGAAATGTAACCACTGTCCTGACTTCAGTTCTGTGGATGAGTTTTGACTGTTTTAGGTATTTCGTGTAAATGGACTCATACGTATATTCTTTTGTGTCTGTTTGTATATTTCCTAATTTCATGGCACTTGGGGATTTTTTTCTGGTTGTATTGTTACTGAGTTCCACCT